AAATTGTTTGCTACAGTAAGATTTTTCACCACAAATTCACCCAATAAAATATTCTACACACAAACCAATAAAATTACTTTAATTTTCAACCACACATTCTCCAAAAAATACTATTCATTACACTAATTTTCTACCAATAATGGGAGACAAACAAGCTGTAAAGAGCATCTAATAATAAGTAAAGTCCCTGTTTTGTAAAAAAAAATTAATTAATTAATTTTTTTTTGAATATTCTATTTTTTGAATCCCAATAGAATAATTTACACGTAGAATAATTACTTTTTCTTAGTTTTAATCATACAATCATAGAAAAACCCAATTTTTCAAAATATACTTTCGAAAAATTTATATCAAACAAACTATAAATAACGTTATTCAAACAAAATTATTAGATTTCGTCTATTACTTATTCAATTCTATCAAAATTATTAGATTCTTTTCATTTACTTCTTTAATTCTATCAAATGATGATAAGACATCGTTATTATCAACATGTCATGAGGATTTAATTAAATATTTGTTTGATTAAATGCTTATAAACTGTGAATTTCATAGAAGTCAAAATATGTGGATAAAAAGTATATTGAATGAACGTAAATTAAAGTTAAGATGGTTATAAAAGTCCTGACGCACTAAAAGTATCTCGCCATTTCTCTTCCAGCATGTTTTCAACTAAAGTAAACTTATGAAATAAAATATTCTTCAGTAATCTTTCTTCACTTGCACAACAAATTTTTTATTTTGAAAATACGAATCACACAACGCAAATACCAAGAAACTAAGAATTAATCCACAAAGTAAATAAAGTTAAATAATGTCAACTACTCTTGGGCATACATTTTTGCCACCTCATTCTATGGATGTGTTAGGGATCAACTGTAAAACGATAGATTTTGTATGAGAATTATAGAACAGTAATGCATTGATGTAATGGATGATAAATACAGCAGTGAAAGAATGTCGTAAAATAGCCTTTTGAGAGGGCTATACTCTCCTATTCCATACTCTAGTAACTCTGTTTTTGCCTGCCTACTCCAATCTATCTCTTCTCTATTTATAAGTATTTCAGTAACAAAATTGCCACCCCAGCTGCCCATCTAACTGAATTTGTTACTATAACTGCTTCTCAATTCTTCCTGGACCTTCTAGAGTAAATGAACTTGACTGGTGGCGTATCATGATGCTGCTTGACTTCTGCTTCTCCTCCCTCATGACTGGCAGTATCATCAACACCGTCGTTCCCTACAACAGCACCAACTTTGTGGTTGAGAAAGAATAGGCTTTCCGCATAATTTTCCACATGAAATGAATCTTTACTACCTTGAATTGGAAGCGCAATCCGTCCCTGTCCTGTGAACAACACCAGCTTTCCGAAACCTATTACCATTAATGCATTACTCTCATTTGTGCATAGTATCTTGCCCCATCCTCCACCCAAGACAATATCTACCAGTCGAGTCCAAGACTCGGCCACTCCATATTCTCTCATCACCCATATGCTATGTACACTTTTTCCCATATAAATCTCCCTAAATGGGCAAATAACAAATCTGGACACTAACATCTATTAAAGCCCAAGTCCAATATATTTTGGCTTCTTTTGATCAACCAAACCCTTAGAAGTTAACAACAAATCAGGCAAAGAGGTCTAGAGAGAATAATTCAAGCACACATTACACGTTGAAACCCTTAATCTAAAAGTTTAAACTGTTAGATAGAGTCACATGTATATCATATAAATTTCATCTTTAACACACCTCTTATGTATAGGAGGTTTCCATCAAAGCTTTCATTAAATGGATAGCGATGATTTGAACTCACGAAGTTTGCTTACTCTTATACATGTACCAAAGGAAAAATACTTCGCCGTTGGATATTTTAGAAAATAATTTTGATTCTTATGTTATCTTCGATATACAATGCCTCGATATATACACCAAATTAGGGCTACAAGAGGAAGGTTTTTGACAAGGTAATTTTGCATCTAATTACAATTAGAACTGAATAAGGAAAAAAAAAA